ATGCCATAATTACCCAAATTGTAATTTAAAGCAGGCGCTCGGATTAACACTCTTGCTTTTTTCAGAATGTGCTATCTTTAAAGTGGGACCTTTGATGACTACTAAGTGGGCATGAGCTAGCTTTTACTTCTTAGCCAGTGTATGGCATCTTCAAACAGCACCGTGCTCCCTAGCAGCCTGCTGTAGCACTGGTTCATTACTGGTTCAGATAGGAGAGTGCCAGCTACTGAATCACTAACACTACTAACAGGCAGCACCCTGGATTGCCCCTGGAGGTCTCCCTCACAAGTAATAATCGGACCGTATTTTATGAGATCTGATGAGTGTACAGGGCACAGTGTCACAGCCAACGAACATATAGGACAGGGGTGGGCAAACTTTTTGGCCCAAGGGCCACATCTGGGTATGGAAATTGTATGGCGGGCCATGAATGCTCATGAAACTGGGGGTTGGGGTGTGGGAGGGGGTGCAGGCTCTGGGGTGGGGCCAGAAATTAGGAGTTCAGGGTGTGGGAAGGGGCTCCGGACTGGGGCAGGGGATTGGGGTGCAGGGGGAGGGGGGTGAGGGCTCCAGATGGGGTTGTGGGCTCTGGGGTGGGACTGGGAATGAGGGATTGGGGGTGCAGGAGGGTGCTCTGGGCTGGGACCAAGGGGCTCAGAGGGCAGGAGGGGGATCAGGGCTAGGGCAGAGGGTTGGGGTGCAGGAGGGGGTCAGGGGTGCAGGCTCCTGGCGGCGCTTACCTCAAGCAGCTCCCCAAAGCAGCAGCATGTCCCTCCTCAGCTCCTATGCATAGGGGCAGCCAGGGAGCTCCGCATGCTGCCCCATCCACAGGTGCTGTCCCTGCAGTTCCTATTGGCCGCAGTTCCTGGCCAATGGGAGCTGCAGCGGCGGCGCTAGGGGCACGGGCAGTGTGTGGAGCCCCTGGCTGCCCCTACACATAGGAGCCGGAGGAAGGACATACCGCTGCTTCCGTGAGCTGCGCGGAGCCACGGCATGGAGCAGGGCAAGTCCCGGACCCCGCTCCCCAGCAGGAGCTTGAGGGCCGGATTAAAACATCTGAAGGGCTGAATGTGGCCCCCAGGCCGGAGTTTGCCCACCCCGATATAGGAGATGGACATAATATAGGGGAACCCTTTGAAATAAGGCAAATTGTCTGGCAGACCTGGTCACAATGACAAAAGTGTGTTGCACATAGAATATAAAACCGCATTTGCAGTCTGGGGTTGTGGCTGTGACCACTAGGCCATGCTTCCCAACCAGACCCCGAGTGGGGACCATTACAGGGCCTAACAGACACTGCTACCAAAGTTCTCCGATCAGCCGTACAGGGACGCAAGCATGCCTACAGTGGAGCACCTATAGGGACACTACTCGAAGAAGAATGAGGTTTTCTACTTTTTTTTTTAAACCAACACTTTCACATAGAAATAAATAACTTAAAAGTAATTAGAATTTTATAAATTGCATCCACTATGGTCTCTCTCCATGAACTAACTAGTTTGTGATATAATTTCTAATATAACATTCATTCAGAAGTTCAGATTCATTGTTTAGAAGACCCAAATACTATTAGTAATGTTGACATCAAGACAGAGTAAGCAACAGAGGAGTTTATCTGTTTTGCTGATATGCACAGTATATCAACTTCAGCTTGTATTCCCTTGACACTGTTTTTTGTTCTCCGTCAAGAGGAGATACTATCCTGTAAATGGTACCTAAATACCTAAAAACACAAGTTTATTTGGATGATAAAAACTCCATTATATGACAAGGATTTTCATAGCTAAAGGAAAAATGATACTAATCAAGAGTAGAAAGAAGCTATTGGATCCTGGCTTATGCTGAAAATGTTTGACACAATTATTTTACATGATTGTATCCTCCTGAATATGATTAAAACCAGAAAAGCCTTGAGAAGTCAGCTGGTGCTATGTTCTTCTTCAGCTTCCTTTTTTGTTGTTGCTGTTAAAAAAAAGTCTTGGAATACATCATTAACTTATTAATTTCATAATACAAAGGGAATTTGGTTAAAATAGTGATGCTGCAACTTTAAATTACAGAACTAGCTTGGTATTTAATGAGAGATTTAGCACAGCGGGGTTTCTGTTAAATTAAGTTGTGCCTTCACATCACAGTGGGAAAACAGGTGTATATTGGTTTAGAATTATGGAAATGTTGACTAATTCCAAGGCTTGTAATCAAACAGCAAGGCACCCTGCAATATTTTCTTCCAAGAATCTGCATTAATCATTTATGTCTGGTCCCATTTTCTTCATGTCCACTAAAAGGCTGAAACTCAAAGGAATACATACAACATCAATTTTTTCATCTCTCTGCAAAGGATGAGGTTTATCAGCTAAAAACTATAATAAAAAGAGCGGAGTACGGTGCATTGCCAAGATAAGTTGAAATGGATAGTGGAACATACAGCAAATGAATGTAAAACAAAGCCCAAGCATTAGGAAGCTTTTCTGGTTTTCATATGGGGCCCAATACAAAACCCACTGAAGTTGATCCGAGTCTTTCCACTGTGGCCTTTGGATCAGGCCCTCATTTAGAGGATGAGACATAGGAAACACAAAAGCAATTCAATTAATCCAAGAACCTAGAGATCCTTTTGGTTGCAGGAGATGTCTTTTACTACTGAACCACACACAAACAAAATCTAGTATTACAATGAAGCAGGATGAGGACGATGTCCCATCATACTGGTCCCAATTCTCCCCTGGTGCAAATCCAGTTTGGTGCCCAATGGCAATGGGAGATGGTTTCTGTTTGTGCAGCCATGAAATCTGTATGCTGATTCCTTCACATTCTGTAGAAACTGCTCATGTAGCCTGATCCAAAGACACTGACGTTAATGAGATTCTTTTCATAATCTTCAGTGGGGGCTAGATCCGGCCTGCAGTGAAACTGGGCTGGATCTCTAATTAAAGGGAAGTAGAATCCAATGTTCTCAGTATGCAAATTGCAGCTCCAGACAGAGTGAATCTTACTGACTTACAATGAATTTGTTTTGTGAAAACACTGCTTCAGTGTAACGAGGTGCTACAACCTCTATAAAATATTAGCATGCAGTGGGTACAGAATATAGTAGAATAATATGTGCATTCAACACTGGTGATGGAGCTATTCTTGGATTATTCTATTTTCATTTAAGAATTAGGTGCAACTTGAAAGTAAAATCCAGTCTTGCCCCAGCACTTAGAATCATGTGATTATGTGATAATCTGACCTTTCATTTTTTGAAAAAAAGATAAGTTTCTAACACTAAAAACTGCAGAGAAAAACTTGGAAGCGTGACCCCTAAAGGTTGAAAAAGTAGAAGGCAAAATTAAAAAAAGAACCCAAAATCTATTGTTTGAAAAATGTTTGTGATTTTTGAGCCAGTCTGATGTTCTTTGAATGCTTGGCAACACTAGTAAAAAACAGTCCAGACAACAACCCCACAATGACTGGTTACAAAGAAGTGGGAAATGCAAACTGCAGCATTTACCTACTGGCCCAAGTAAGGAGCCGTGCAGAGCTGAACCACACACGAGGAGCTCCATTTAGGGCATATTCTGGGCTTCCTCAAAAGCTGGGAGTGCAACTTTGACAGCCCTTCTGTGGGCTGCACAGAGAGAAAGAGGGCTTGACGGGGCAGTCTTTGGAGTCCTAGAGATGTTATAACAAGCAACAAAGCTTTTCATTTATTTCCCTGCATCTGGGCTAGAATGTAGAGGACTTTCTAGTGCCCTCTCCCTCAGCGGCTTCCATTTAAAACTAAAGGAGGATATCCATTCCGCTATTGCAGGACTTGTGTCACAGCTATTTCACATTTAGATCATCAGATTGGCTTAAATATTTAGCTGTGACACCCTGAGTAAGTTTTCCAGACCCGGAGAAGAGCTCTGTGTAAGCTTGTCTCTCTCACCACAGAAGTTTGTCCAATAAAAGATATTACCTCACCCATGTTGTTCTCTATAATTCATTTTCCCTGGTAAATTCCATGACTCTCCCACCTGTACAAGGTGCACCAGCCAGATCCTTATTTTTCAAACACATGGAGTTGAATTCACATGCAGCACATGGGAGCTAAAGAAGATTTTTTTTGTCATGTATCTGCTAGATCAAGTGGTGTGGAACCTATGCTTATCAACAAGAGCTATATTTTTACTGTGCCTTTTGTCTTCACTTCTGTTTGGAACCTTACACTGCAAACAGGTACTTGAGTTTTTTATTCCACATATGACCAAATACTCAGCTGGATCCAACAGAATGATGTAAAATATTAAATTGACTGATTATTTAACTCCAAAGATTTGTGGCTATCAAGTTACTACCTTGAAATGTGATGATTATGACTGTAATTTAGAATTTAAAGATTACTTACTACATATTACACACATAAGCAACTGATCACTAGTACAACTGTATCTATAATAACTGTCAGCGTAATGTGTTAGTGGTTACAGATTGCTGAAAAACAAAACAAAATGGGAGAACATTTTGAATACAATTACATTATAATATTTTCTAATGTACATCAGTACACAGCCATCAAAGTAACTGCTGCATATTGTTTAGAAACCATTATGCCTATGCTAGCTACATTTTGTCCTTTCCCACCCTTCCCCCTCAAAAAACAAAATAAAACCAGACACTTAGGAAAAAAAGAAATCCTGGTGTGTGAAGTTTTGTTTTCCTATTTGCCTTTCCCCCCCCGCAAAAAAATCTGAATCCACCTTACACTTCAGTAGCTGCTGCTACCCAGCAGGGATCACTATTATTTCCAGCCAGGGGACATTCTATATAAGAGCACTTTTCTTCCAAGCTAATGCCATCGCTACTAGACTGGCCAATTGGCATGGCTACTGAATGTGAACTATCAGGTCAGCAACCCTCCTTCGAAAAGACCAAAGTCATTTCTGGCACTAAGAGCCTATAACTAGCATCTTCAGAAAAGCGGCTATTTTGTAGCCATAAAGTGATTAGGTTCAAAAAGAAAATGTACTCACCCCAGGTAAAGTTTTAATATTGTGCAGTGCATTCTGTGCCTCAAGTGCAGCTTTTCTTGTATAAAATGTTACGAAACAACAACCTAAAGTGAGAAATGAAAAGAAATTACCAACAATAGTTTGAGAGACTACAATAGGGGGGGAAAAATGATTGAATGATGCATTATAAAGGCTGAAAATGTGAAGTATAATGAGACTGCATGAATGCCGTGCATCAAAGGAAACGTGTATTGTTTAAAATAAAATAATAAAAAGCCACCCCCACATGTTGTATCTATAGCACGCCTAAACCCTTAGCAGGCTGTAACCACTTTGAAATTAAGTTAACCAAAATTCAATCGACCCCATAGCGTATTTTGTATAGGTTCTCCATTAAAGTAAGCTTATAAGCAGCTTGAAAGCTCAGAGCAGTAGAAATTTACCAAAGCAGCCCAGCTAGAAAAGTGGGCTTAAAAAGCAGGACCTTACTGAAAGAGACATATACAGGAACTAAGCTTTTCTGGTAAACTACAATCATGCTTCCTAAGGAGAGTTGGGGGTGGAGCACTGTGAAATATGTGATTAGAAGTGCCTCAGTTTAGAGAAGTTTCAGAGTAGCAGCCGTGTTAGTCTGTATCCGCAAGAAGAACAGGAGTACTTGTGGCACCTTAGAGACTAACAAATTTATTAGAGCATAAGCTTTCGTGGGCTACAACCCACTTACATACAACCCATATGCATCCGAAGAAGTGGGTTGTAGCCCACGAAAGCTTATGCTCTAATAAATTTGTTAGTCTCTAAGGTGCCACAAGTACTTCAGTTTAGAGAAGGAATTCAATGTGCCTTTTTAGGGACATTGGAGCCTGCTGCTATCTGTGGATGCTGTTTGACAGTCCTTTAGCTGTATCTTTCCCCGGTCTTAGGTAGAGGAATGGATTTGTGGGAAAACGTGGCTTAAAACCACCATAGTTCCCTACCCTTTCCCAGGGCTGCGAGTTCTGTGCTGTGCCTCCAAAAGGCAAAGCACAGAATCTCATCCCTGGATTCAATTCCCAGCTCTGCCACAAAACTTCATGTGTGGCCATGAGCTAGCCAGGTAAGTGTTGTGCTTCAGTTCCTCAGCTGAATTTGGATCAGTTTATGTATATATCTTATAGGGATGCATGGCGGGAGGGGGGCTTACAAAATTCTTTGAGATACAAGGATGAAAGGTGCTACTAAAGTGCAAACCATTATTTGTTTAGATCAAAATGCTATATATTTTACTAGAGTTTCAGAAGAGCATCCGCTATACACAGGCAGTTGCAGAGGGCTCAGAATCCTTTGGGTGGTGAATGAGGACTAGGATGTTGACTGCATCATACCCCCTGCTATTTACCAAGATGGTGTGACACCCAGTATTCCAGTTTCCATTCAGTCATTCAGCATAGACACAAGTGGTAAGCAGGATGTGGACAGAGACAGAACAGAATACAACTAGTACAGAATCTTAATTAATCTAGAAGGAAGGTTGGAATCTTCAGAATACTCCCTCCTGCCACCTCTCCCTTGGTTCAAGCTGCAGATTGTGCTTCTAGTGCTCTCTGGGGCTTTGCAGTTGGGCCAGCTACAAATGTTACCTTTATAACAAGCAAAGGTAATCATGTTCCCAGCCAGAATACATGGGGGACCTTATCCCCTAACACAGAAATGCACTCACAGGCAATACAATATACTCACACAGGCAGGTAATGCAGACTTATCACAGTCAGGAGAAACACCATTCACAAATGAATGCCAGCAGATCCCCTTAAAATTTCACAGTTTACAAAAGAGCCCATTTGGTAATGATTTCAGTCATTTGTGGGTCATTCAGCAGGATCATTCAATCAGTCAGCAATTGATTGTTAGCCGCTTGTGCTTTTTATAGGAGTTCAGAGTTTTAAAATCTTCCACTGAGGGCAATCCTTGTGATTTCAGATTATTTTACTCCAGAATTAAACCTGTATTTGTGCCATCAGTCAATAATACAACACAGAAATGCAGCAATGATTTTTTCCCCTATTTTACCAGCCAATTTTACGTCACACTGTCAATCAGAGCCTCTTGGGTTAGTTTTATTTGTTTAATACCTGGGCTCTCGACCTGAGGGTTGTGAACAGATGCCAGGCGGTTCATGATTTCTATGCTACTTCCCATGTTGCTAGATGAGAGTGGGGCCCAGCTTAAATCCCAGGTGGAAGGGAAGGGAATCCTGGGGTTATCCAAGTGGGACAGAGTGCTAGGAGCCTACAGCTGACCCAGCATTCTGGTCACTAGGGCTACATCTACACTGCAAAAAAACCCCCAAGCCTATGGCCATGAATCTCAGAGCCCCGGTCAACTGACTTGGGCTTGTGTTACAGGGCCAAAAATAGCAGTGTAGATGTTCAGAGTCGGGCTGGAGCCTGCGATCCGAGACCCTCCCTGCTCATTGGGTTTTAGAGCCCAGGCTCCAGCCTGAACATCTACACTGCTATTTTTTAAGCTCATTAGTGCAAGCCCAAGTCAGTTGACCTGGGCACTGAGACTTGCTGCCATGAGTCTTTTCTTGCAGTGTAGACATGTTCCACCCCCTGGAGTGGATTTAACTGGGGGATGGATGCTCAGAGAGCAATCATCCCGTCAGCTGGGAACACTAAGGACAGGACGGCAGGCTGACGGGATGCAGGATCTCAGGACCATGAGATCTTTCCCTCTCTCCCCCTGGAGGGCGGGTCATGGGGGAAATTTAGGCCATGTCTACATTATCAAGCTTATAGTGGCGCAGCTGTGCTGCTGTCAGAGCGCTCGGGTAACCGCTCTAAGCTGATGGGAGCGAGCTCTCCTGTTGACATAATTAATCCACCCCCAATGAGCGGTGGTAGTTATGTCAGCGGGAGAGCCTCCCCCACTGACATAGTGCTATCCACGCTGGTGCTTCGGTTGGTGTAACTTATGTCGCTCAGAAGGGTGTTTTTTCGCACCCCTGAGCGACGTAAATTATACCAACCAAAGTGCTAGTGTAGACATAGCCTTACTTCCAATTGCATTTTGCTGCATAAAGTTGTACTGGGTGGAGGGGACACGATCAACAACACACTGGGGCTTATCAACTCAAAAGTGTCCAGTCTGTTTGTGGTGGGCCAAAGGGCAGAGAAGGGAGCCTATTACACCAGGTATGGAAAAGTTCGAGACCCTCTAGAGTAGCATACTTGGCATTGGCCCAAAGAGCTTGCATCTGAAAGATGGACACAGCAAGACAGGACATATTGAGAAATTATCATGGGCTTCATGAAAGACAAGTGTTTTTAAGGGGTACCTGTAAGAGGAGAGGAGAGTGACTTTGTGAACAAAAACTGGGAGAATATAGCAGCGTAAGAGGCAGCACAGAAATGCGTTAGGTAGGAGGTCAGACTATATGGTCACAACGGTCCCTTCTGGCCTTAAAATTTGTGGATCTAAAAAGGCCCAAAGATGAAATGCTTCAATTACTTACATCTATTTAAACTCATTTATTTTTTTGATTAAAAAAAAATCATCGCTAATGGACAACTGAGAAGAGTTGGTGGTAGTTTGGGCAGAACTACCTCAGCTGACAATGATTGGGTCTGAATAGATCTGCTAAGGAGGGTGGGGCTGAAGAGAAAAACAGACTGGCAAAAGTCCACACACTCCCAGAGAAAACTTTACACTTCAGCTTAGGGAATTTTCAAGAGGAGTTCACCGATAGGTGGCCCCAACTTGAACTGCTGTAGTTCCACAGAGCAGACCTGGATTTGAACATGATTTCAGTGTAAAATTCCTGCATCTCGATGGTACATGAAGGATTGTACCTCAGTACCTAGCTCTGAAGTCAGCTCAGAGTCATGTGTGTTACCTGCAGATATCTAGGGAGGGATTAGACCTATCTAAAAGCAAGAGGGCACTTTGTAAGCCCCTCAAACTGAAACCCTCTGCATCCCAAGTAACTGGAAGCCTGAATGAAAATCACTCAGGTCAGGGCAACTGTCAAGGTAAGTCCATTCTGGGGCTTGGCAACCTGGAAAGTATCTGATGTGGAAGGTACCATGACTGTCTACTACAGACCAACATTTAACTAGTTTAACTCTGAGGTAAATCCAGGTGGGACTGCATCTTCTTGATTGTAGAGAAACTGTACAATCGCTAACACATGAAAAATAAAAAGAATACTTTCACTACTTGGGTGCAACAGCTGTCTGAGCTCTGTTGGGAACAGCTTTTACAGTAACACACGCACTATTGTTTACATACCAAGAAGAGACATTGAATGGAGCACAAAAGTCAACCTTCCCATGTCTGTAATGCCCTGGCTGTGGTGCCAGATGTTTGAACGAACAAAACAAAACTGCCATCACACCAGAAAGAGTACGATGGCAAACAACGAAATGTCTGAGAAAAGGAGGACAAAAACTGAGAGAGGAAGCATCTCTATTTCCCCAAACTTCTGAGGGCGAAATGTTCAGATAAGTGCTCCAAAGTACGCAACACCAACACCTCAGCCTCATCAAAACAGGGTCTCTTATCTCAGATGCTTTTTCTTTTTCTTTAAAAGCAAATTTAGTGCTAGAAAAAGACCACAAGGACCCCAGTTTCTAGGAGTGATAAGGTGGTTCATTCTCCATGACATACTCAATCTCTGGCCTTCACTGAGGCTGCCAAAGGCACCAACTAGTGCCAATGATGGAGGCTCTCTGTTTATTAGTAGGGATCTGTTCAGTGAGATTGGAGGGAAACACCTTTCTGCAAATCTAGGTAAACAGGACACCAGCGGAGTATATGGATTTATGTTGTAATGGCTGCATCTTCTGCATTTTTAAATGATAGTTTAAAAGTTTCAGAATATGCAAAATATAGAAAAAAAAAAAGACAGATCCCTAAAATCATAGGGCAAAGATTGGAAAGATTTTGCTGTTTTTCTGTTTGTTTGTTAACAGCGAAACAAATGCAACTTTCTTTATGCACATTGTTACAGCAGCCAATTCAGAGCCCCAGTCTGGGATTTTCAAAAGCATCTAAGTAGCTTACTCGGCTAACTTTCAATGGGACTTGTGCGCCTATGTCTGTTAGATACCTTTGGTTAGAT